AGCCACACCAGGGCATCCCAGCCAATAAACCGAAAGTGTTACAGCCAGTATCCTGTGCCAGAGGCTGTCTGGGCTGTGGTAGGAGGGGCGGGGGTGTTTTGTTGCAGATGTGCAGGCTCGCAGTGTCTGGAGTAGCCCATCGCCAGGACACCTGGCTCACTGGCTGCCCTTCCTCCCTTCTGTTTCAGGAGCCCTGAGGGTGTAATTTCACACTTGGGCACACACAAACAGCCACCTTGCACACTCAGCCGCAGGCATGTGCACGGCACGCACACACTGCACAGCCCTCCCCATCAAAGGGACGGGTGGGCCGTTCTGTGAAAGGCCCTTTGGTGGGGAGGGAGGAGGTATGTAAAAGGGGATAGGTGTACGTCTGTCCAGCTGGTGTCCACCTGGGTTTCCAGTGTCTGTGTGTAAGGAAGGGGTGGGTGGGCCGAGAGGGCATTGAGGCAAGGGCCAGAAAACTGGCATCGACCAGCGCAGACCTGCTAGCTGGCCCCGGTGCCTGCCTTCCTGAAGGTCAGGCACTGAGAGCCGGCCCCTGTGGGTCCTTCTCTTGTCATGGAGACAAGAGCCAGACGCTGAGCAAACATTCCAGCTGGCCCCCTCTCCCAAGGCAACCCAAGGTTGTGCGTTGTCTGGCCTCCCCGTCCTGCTGTCGCCTCCTGCCTCCCAGCTAGCAGGGAGGCTCAGACCTGTCTCCCTAAGGCTGGGAGGAGGGAAACCACATTCCTGATCCTTCCCTCCAAAGGAGCCTCTCTCTGCCTTGCCTTCCCTCTACATGGGTCTCACTAGGAAAGAAGGTCGAGGGGGAACCCGGGTTCTTACACCTGGGCTGGCCATTCCCAGAGTCCAGCGAGCCCGGCGGCCTGCTCCAAGCCCCAGGGCCCCTGGGAGCCTTCAGGGGGACTGTAGTGCTTTACTGGCCCCAGTTCCTCCCTACAGCCGGCAGGTATTGTGCCAGAGGTTGTCAGGACTCTGTGGGGGGACCCACCCCCAGGAAGCAGTGTGTCATAGTGCATGCCCTGTGGCCCTTGAAGCAGAAAGCAGTGGTGGAAACCAGACACAGTGCTACTGTCTGAGTTGTATGCAAAGCCCCCTCCCACGGGCCAGCTGCAGCCCTGCCCTCCAGTCCTGACTGCAGGTGAGGCCTTGAATCCTGCAAGGCCATGGGTGATGGCCACGGGGGTAACTGCTTATTGCTCCAGTAAGGTCGCAGGCAGTGATGTCATGGCCACCTCTTCATGCCTTCAGCTCCTCTGACTTGGGTGCTCAGGACAGTCTGGAGTGCCTTCAGCAGAATGGCAAGGCCCCCAAGCTCTCAGAGTCGCCTGGGCATCTGACCCAGGCACTGTGCCAATCAACTCGGGGTCGCTCCCCACGGTGCATCTGTGGTCAGTGGTCCTGGCTCACTTCACCAGCCCTCCAGGCTTCTCTGAAGCCCAATGGGCCACACTCCCAGTCCACAAGCCACATGTCCAGAAGGAACCAGGGCCATAACCCCATCTAGACTATGGGGCTTCTGCCCACAGAGAGTACCTGCTTCTCCACCTGGAACAGGGCCTCTGCGAATAAATGCCACAGCTGGAGGCAGCTCAGGGCCACCCCAGGCGGCCGCCCTGGACACCTGTCCTGAGACCATCACCACCATAGGTCGGGACCCCCCATCCTGATTCAGGGACCCATGTTGGCCGGTTCTCCCAGTCTTCTCTGGGCCCATCTGCAGAGGTGCCACCAGGTGGGGGAGGCTGCTTAGAAGCTGGCTGCAGGCCACTGATCCATATTCCAGTTCTAGTGTGTTTTCAGGGCCCAGCCCACCCTCACCTCCTGCCTGCTTTGGGTTCTACAGTAGACCAACCCCAGTGCAGCCGTCCATCAGCTTGGGTGGTTCCTCATCAGAGGAAGGCACCCTTGCACCCTTGCTCCTCCACTGTCCCCAAGTGCTGGAGGCCCCCCTGGGCTTCCCCAAACCCTGAGCACAGAGCCAGCGGTGGAAGAGCTAGGGTGGGCCTGCCCCAGACCATGCCCCTAACCCTGGTAACAGGTTCAGATACCCACTCCCCCCAGAGCTTCTGTCTCCCCCCCCACCCCAAGTACCTCTCCAGCCCTGAGGAGGACTGCATGACAGCACCAGCCTGGCAGCAAGAGGGCCTGGCTCTGCCTTGCTTGGCCCTGTGACACTGGCCAGCTGCCCCTCCCTGGTGCCTCTGCCCAGCAGCCCTTCCTGTACACAGGCAAGAAGAAAAGCCAGCATCTAGTCTCCAGGCAGCCAGAGGGCTGGCCGAGCTACTGAAGCTGCTGGGATCCTCAGCAGCTGCGGTGGTTTGCAGGGCTGGCTGTCGGCTCCATTGCAGAAGGAAAGGCGATGCTCTGCACTGCCTCTTGCTCCTTCTCTGATTCCCTTCCTTCCCCCTTAGCAAGTCTGAGTGCAAACACAAGCTCTACCATTTGGCGACATGTGTCCTGAAGTGAGTCATTTCACCACCCTGAACCTCAGTTTCTTTCTCTAGACATAGGGTAATGACAGCTCCCAGGGTTTCCATGAACCGCGAGATGCCCTTTGAAGAGACCTATCCCAGTGCTGGCAAACAGGAGGCTGTCCATGAATGGGCCTCCTCATCCTTTCCTCTGCCAGACCACTTCCCAGCCCCTGGACTGCTCTCCGCCTATGGCAAAAGGCAACTTCTGGGTACCCAAGTTTGCAGGCAGGCATCAGGAGCTTGGCAGAAGACTGCTGCCAGAAAGGACAATGCCTAACCCACAGCAGGGAGGAGCTTGCAGAACAGGGGATGGATTTCTGGCTGGCTGGTAGCCTTTCTGGGTACCTCCCAAGTCACACCCTGTGCTTGACTGTCCCTCCACACACGGCTGACTCTAGAATCTGTGAAAAGATTTGCTGCTCCAGTTTGCAAAACTAGTAGTGCCTGACGGGGAGTAGGGCAGAGTGGCCAGATGTTTTCCCCAGAGCACCGCAAGGCCCCTCACCCAGCCTCTGGTGGGCCAGGCCACTTCTCCTGCTCCAGCCCCCTCCCAGCCCCACACCTTCCCCCTCCCCTGTCCCGGGAACATCTGGTTCTAATCTCCTCCAGATGCTATGGCCAAGCCATTTTATGGCCAATCACCTCAGCTCAGCTTCCTGAAGGCCTCCCTCCATTTCGGGGAAAGGTCCCTTCTTGTCCCTTTCCTTGGGACCCCAGCCACCTCTTTTCCCAACATGGAGAACAGACACATACTGAAGCCAGATGAAACTGTGAGGGTTCTCAGACTGGGCCCCTCTCCTCCCCCCAGAGGGTGGGGGCTGTCACCCATCCAGGATTCAAAGAAAGATGCTGGCCCAGGAGGAGAGGAATGGGCAGGGAAGTAGGTGCCTGTGCAGGGAAAGAGTGTGTGTGTGTTGGCACGTTAGTGCATGGGGTTATGTGTGTATGTTGGCTCTGTCTGCATGTCTGTGCCGGTACAGCAGAACACCCACCTGTAACTCAGGGGTGCTCCTGGGTGGCCGCCGCCTCATCTTCCTTCCTTACCTGCAGTGGAGCAGGGCTAACTCGGGGGCCCGCTCTGCACAGTGGCAACCACAGCCCAAGGTTTCCCTCGCCTTTCAGCTCTGTGGCTACTGAGGCTGTCTTCTAACTCCAGCCCGAGGAGGGTGTGTGAGAGTGTGCGCACATGTGTGTGTTCCCATGCAGACCTCTCTCCTTCCACCAGAGGAACATGGGCCAGGAGGAGTCCCAGGGCAGACTCCACCTGATGCCCTGACCCAGCTTGGCCTGCTGGGTGCCCTGAGCAGCCCAGCGCAGGCATGTGCCAGAGAGCGGCCATCTGCAGCGAGGAAGGAGCAGCCAGCTCTCTGGAGGAGACCCGCACGCACAGCCCCTAGCCCTGTCTGCCCTGCCTCAGATGGTTGCCTTCATCTCCCACTAGTGGGGCCCTGGGAGCCACACTCTCCTCCTACGAAACCCAGAAGGATCCACAGAAGGAAAACTGAAGACTTCCCTCTGGAGGACTCCGAATAGCCCTCAGCTGGTGGCAGGAGGCAGGGGTCCAGCTTGGAGGTGAAAAGCTAGACCCCGGTGGTCACTCCCTGTCCTGGGAATTCTGGACTCCAGCTGCTGCCCAAACCCCTTTAAATAAGCCTCCTGAGCATTCATGACTCCACAGCGCCCCCTGGTGTTATTCAGGAGCTAGGAAGGACCTTGGCCAGCCAGAAACCCTCCCAGGGTCCCTGAGTCTGAGACTGGCCCTGCATGCATCTTACAGTGTCAGGTGGGTCTGGCACATACTGGGGGACACCAGGCAGTGAAACGGGAAGATTACAGCTCCTGATTCAGATCCTGGCCACAGTCACCTACTTACTATAAGACATGGGCAAGCCTTTCCTTTCCTTTGTTCCTCCTTTTCTTCATCTGTTAAATGTGACCGCAGCAGAGCCTTTGAGAAGGCAGAAAGGGCTGATGTGTGAAAGCACCTACTGTGATGCCCGGCACATAGTAGACCCTCAGGAAGTGGTCTTTGCTTCTCAGGTCTCCTCCCTAGCCCTGGGAGGCTGTGCCCCAGCTCTTGGGGACACATATTCATTGGCCCTGAGCCAGCTGGTGTCAGGGAGGTGACTGATTTTTCTGGAGCTTTTCCACTCCAGAAGAGGATCATTTTAATAAGTCCATAATAATAGGCACAGAGGTGACTCAGACCTGCCAGAGGCACCCTGCTGGAGAGGGTTCAGGGGCCTCTGGTTCTGACACTGCAGTGGGAAGAGCTCCGAAGGAGGGGCCTGGGTACCTGGGTTACACCTCCAGATCGCTCCAGATTCTCTCCTAAGAGCCCTCAGTTTCCCTGCAAAATGCAGGGTGGCTCCAAATGACCTTCAAAGTCCCTTCTGGCTCTGCTTCCTGAGCCCTGAATCTCATAGCAAGACTTGGACACAATTCCCGGTGGCCGGGCTGGGGGCATCCCCGCGTGTCTGATTGGCCTACCCGCACTCCCAGCCCAAGGAGAGGCGAGGCTCTCAGGCCGTGGTGGTTTATTGGTACACATCGCAAGCACAGCACAGGCAGGTGTGCCCCAGCCGGGGGCAGACATGGGGCCAGGGGAGGGCAGCAGGCCACCCCCACAGCAATGCTGCCAGCAGAGGCGGGGGGAAAGGGCCTGAGGGCCCATGTCCTCTCCTTCTCCATGCATCTCCCGGGGCCCCAGACCTGATCCAAGCCACAGAAACAGCTGATCACACTACTCCCTGCGGCTACAGAAGAGACGACCAGCTGTCCCACCTGCCCCTTACTGAGATATGGCCTTGTTGGCCTGCTGGCCCCTTCTGTCCTTCATCACAGAAATCCGGCTGTCACTGCAGAGGCTGTTCTCCTCCACCTGACATCACCTCCATCATCCCCAGACAGCTAGCTGCCTCCGTCGATACCTCTCTTCATCACTCCACCTGGTCTGCTTGTCTCAGGAGGCCTGCCCTCTCCACCCCGGTGACCCGTACAAAAGTAGGAACTAGGTAAAAAACACTGTTAGGCCCAGCGAAGTCTCTGACAGGAGCTCCCAGGGAAGGGACGCTCCGTCCACAGGCTCCAGGGGGAGTGTAGACAGTGCCAGTGGGCGGGGACGGCAGCTGGGGTGGCAGGGAAACCACAGTCCAGGTCACTCACAGGCACAAGGCAGTCCCAGCCCCGAGGCAGAGAGGGCGAGCAAACTGCACAGCCAGGGCGTGACGGGCTCTGCGGGAAAGCCCTCAGGTCTCGTTCCACACCAGGTGGCCTCAGGGTGAGCAGCAGCCCACTCCTGGCTGAGAAAGGGGTCCCTCTGGGTCTCAGGGGTCTCTTCCCCCCTCCTCGACCCCAGTGGCTGCCAGTGCTCTGAGTGCCTCAGTGCTCTGAGCAAGGGAAAAGGTCCTCTGGGGTCTGTATTATCTTCAGAACAAAGGGAAAACTCCAACAGCCTGGATGCTCCAAAGCCAGGAGGAAGAGGGCCCCTTTCTAGAGCAGAGGTGAGAAGAGGGGACCGCTCTCCCCAGGCAGGAGGAGGCGCTGTGGGGAAGGAAGTCACAGCAGTGCAGGAGACTATTTATAGAGGGAGGGGGCCAGGTCTGGAGAGGGAAGACCCCAGGCCCAGCTGAGCAGGGAGGGGCAGCCTGTGGTGGTCCTGCGTGGGGTGGGTGGGCTAAGGAAGAGCACCCCACAGCTCTCTGGGTCCCCCACGGAGGCAGGTGACCTGCAGGTGGGCTGCGGCCTGGAGAGACTTTCCCGGGGGGGAGCCTGGAGGGCACAGTCTCCATCAGATGGGGGTCTGTGATGAAGCAGGAAATAGCGGGACAGGGAAGCCAGAGGAAAGGGGAAGTCTCCAGAAGTCCAACCCCCCCACTGAAGCTAAGAGCCTTACTAGGCCTGGGTGGGCCATGCCTACCCAGGGGACCACTCTCTGTTGCCTCTAAAACTGAGGGGTGGGGGAGGGGGAATTGCATGGCATGGAGGGGGCCAGGGGCAGGGGAGAGAAAGCTGGCTCCCTGAACTTACGTTACCCATCACCGCTCTGCCAGCCATCTCTCCCTAAGCCCCCCCAGCTCCCCTGGAGTCCCTAGCGACCTACACTGATGTTGCAGGTCTTGCAGCTGGGGTCTTTCTTGGCGTCGGCAGTGGACAAGCTCATGAGCTGGTGGCCGCTGATCTCCCCCAGGGTGCCCAGGGATAGGTCGACGGGCTCGGTGTAGATGATTTCCAGGATGAGGTCCTGGGCGTGGCGGAAGACCAGCTCCCCATCCTCCACACTGCAGGTCAGGAACTTGTTGCAGGCAATGTCCAGGAGGGGCAAGCGGTCTCGGCAGAAGCGGTCCCCCAGAGAGCCCTTGGGGGCCAGCACTAGGATGGCGTAGTGGTAGGCAGTGTACATACAGTAGAAGTCTGCAAAGTAGAGGTTGGTGCTGGGGTTGAAAAGACGCTGGGCGGGGATCTGGAAGCGCCAGCGGCCGTAGGGGGAGTCCTGTGGGGGCTGGCCTGTGTTGAACTCCGTGTTGCAGCTGAAGAAGACTCCTTGGAGCATGCCGCTGGTTGGGGAGCCGTGGCTGCCGCTGTTGTCCTTCAGGTAGGGCTGCAGCATGTTCCCGCAGTGGGTCCTACCCACCCCGGGGCAGGGCCAAAAGGGAGAAAATGCTGCTGGTTAGCTGGGCTGAGGCTTGGCTGCCACATGTGGTGAGAAGGGAGCCAGCCCAGCTCCCAGCTCTCCCACCAGCCACCGCCTCCACCTGTCACAAATAGTACATTCCAGAATGCAAGAGCAGGGAGGGCCCTGGAGATAGGCTGATCCAGCCCACTCTTTCGTCCCGGAGAGGCCTGAACCTGCTGTTCCTCAGCATGAAACGCTTCGGTGGAGCTTGAGTGACAAGCAAGGCATCACAATCTGGTCTTTCTGGCTCCACCTCCTACCTCCCCCACACCCGCAGGTGACGCCCTCCGGCCAAGTGGGAGCCCCACCCCAGCTCTTTCCTGCCTCTGCATTTGCAGTGCTCTGCCCTCTGCCTGGACCACCCTTCCCACCTTTCCCCACCTTTCCCCACCTTTTCCCACCTGGCCTGGCAAACTGCAACAGGTTCACCTCTTCACCCTTCAAGGCCCGGCATTGGTGTCCCTTCCCCTTTAACACCTTCCAGGAACATCAGGCCCTGGCACGCAACAAACTTTTGACTGCCTACTACGTGCAGGACACTGAAGTCTACTCAGCGATCACACACACCTACCACCCTCCATCTATCAGTATTGCCCTCCAACAGACTCTGAGCTTTCTGGGGGGAGCCCTGCCTTCACCCATCTCTGCACCCGGCACACACGCATGCTCCCTGTGTCTCCTGCTTTCAGACAGAAGCCCAGACTGGGCTGGTGCCCTCACCACTCGGCTCACTGCGTCTCTTCTTTAGTGCAAACACCAAAGACCCTCCAGGCCCCCACTGCCCTGGGGTGGAGTCAAAGTGACGCAGTGATGAAGACAGTGTTGGCGGTGGCTTGCCCTGGCCCAACCTTAGAAGGTCGTGGACTTGGAGTGGAGTCAGGGGGTTGGGCAGCCCCTGATCCAGTCTCCCTCCTCCTTGGTCCTGGCTGTCCTGAGGTGACTAGTGACTTGTTGGCCCTCTGGGTCTCAGGCTCCTCATGTGTCTGCTGAGGGTGCTGAATGACATCAGTGAAGGGATCAAGAATTTTGGGGGGTGGAACCCCTCTCTTTCTTCCTAAAGGGAATTACACACAGACGGGCCATAGGCAATAGAACTGAAGCTGCTCAGGTTAAATGGGGGTGAGGTCCACCAAGCCGCATCCTCAGTGTTCCTCAGCAACCCCTCAGCACCCCCAAGGGCTGCCTGACGTTCACCCTAGAGCCTCCGGGCTCCCCCGCAGATGGTGTGAAGACCACACCCTTTCTGCTCAGCATCCACTCCATTCTGTGCCCCCTCCTCTCTCCCCTTCTGACCCAGGCCCTGAGCTGGAGAGAAGGCTGGCCTGCCACCTTAGAACCAGTGATAGGAACCCCTCCAGGGAGGATCCCACTGGGACCGTGCTCACCCAGGAGCCCCAGGCAGCCCCACGGGGAGAGCCTTCTCCTTCCCTGGAGCTCAGTCCCAAGCCAGCCTGTGGCGGAAGGTCAGGGTGACCTCAAACAGCCTGGACAGTTGAGGCTGAGGTGGGGGAGGCAGGCGGGGCCTGGCGGGCCACCCAGGTCTGCGCGCACCTGGCGTGCTGAAAGTACTCCTTGTGGTGGTTGCGGTAGAAAACAGAAAAGCGCAGCATGCGCCCCGCGATCTGCTCGGCCTTCTCTTGCAGCTGGGCCAGGTGCTCCTTGGCATAATCTGCAAGAGAGCAGGTGAGTGAGCTGCGGGCTAGGCAGGGATCACAGCCCCTTTCCCCTCCCACACCCACCTCTGTGCTCAGAGCTGCAGGGGACACCAAACATCAGCAGCACCTTGGACCACATGGGAATGGGCCAGCTGGATGCTGTCTGTCCTCATCACCTCTGCGCCCTCTGTGCCAGAGGCTCAGGACCTCTGCCTCAGACAGGGGCAGGGCTGCCTAGTTATATAATCGTGCCAGGGCCCCCCCAGTGCTGCAATCCCAGGCTGTCCTCATCTTTGTAAGAATGACTGAAAGGGGAGATGTTGAGGCCCTTCAGGGAGAGCCTTCAAGTCCACCGGGTTGGAGGCTGCCCGCACCACCCTCAGGGATGCCAGCTGTCATCACAGGCGGGGGCTCAGCTCTCTAGCTGAGGTGAGCGTTTGGGCAGACCAGGTCTGGGGCGATGACTGCGCTCCAGCATCCCAGGAAAAGCAGCGGAGCCTGGAAAACAGGGCAGTGAAATCCGACCCTCCCCAGGGCCGGGGCCAGGGGCAGGGACAGGGCTGCTGCTAGCCTAGGCAGCGCCTTTGCACAGATTAGAAAAAGGTGCCCTTTCCTCCTTGCTGATGCGGCCCCAGCCAGGATGCTGGGCTTGGCCAGAGGAATGTGGACTGGAATGCAGCCATCCCCGGTTCTCCTGTTGGAAGTAAATTCCACTGCACCCGGAGCTCTGGGGTAAACTCAGCCTTTCCCATAGGGAGAGGGAGCACCTTCAGAGGGTGGCACTCAAAAGAAAACAACAGGTCAAGGACGCAGCAGAGGGCACAGACCTTGGCCGAGGGTGGAGCCAGCAGTCCGGGAGGCCTGGGGCTAAGAATGTCCCCTGCCCCTCCCTTGTGACAGAGGGAGATCTGGGACAGTTCTCACCACGGACATTAAAAGAATGGCCTGTAGCAGGGACAGAACCTGCATCATCAGTGACAAGTACGTGTGAGCCTGGTGTTGTTTGCTCATTCTGGAATTTCCAAGCTGAGTTCTCTGAGAGTTTGTGGGGTCACTGAACAAGGAGCGTTTCCAGGCTAACTGGAGGCTCAGGACAAGCAGAATGTGGTTGCTCCATGACCGGTCCACCCGCCCGTGATTGATAAACAAACTGCGGTCCAGCTGCACAACATCCCCTGCGGGTTGTGCTGCTGTTCCACTGAGGAAGGAAGGCGTTCTGAGACGGGCTACCACGTGGACAGGCCTTGAGTTGCTAAGTGAGTGAGCCAGTCACAGAGGAACAGCACTGTGTGATTTCCTCACATAAGGTGCCAGGAGTGGTCACGTTTACAGAGACAGAAAGCGAGCTGCAGCTGCCAGGGGCTGGAGTGAGGGGAGCAGAGCTGTTGCCGAGCAGGTGCGGAGCTCCGGTTTGGGGAGGTACGTTCCGTGCCAACGTGAGTGTGCTTAATGCCACTGAACTATATATGCTTGAAAATGGCTACGACGGTAACTTTTATGTTATGTGTATTCTACCACAATTCAAAACCCATGCTAGCCCCAGGCCAGAAAAGTGACTCTGTCCCGTCATGGAAGTGATGTTGTCACCAGTCTGCAGGCTTTGGGGGACTGGGCGGGTCTCGTGGGCATGCGCCTCCCCGGTGGGAGGCCTAAGCCTGCAGCTGGCATACCGCAGGCCCACGGCGTCTGCCGTGGCAGGGCGGAGCCCCCTCCCGACCACAACCGAACCAGGGGCGCACGGGCAGCAGGGCGGCAGGGCCTCACCCCCGGTGCAGAATTCGACCGTCTCGCTCCAGCCGGACACCAGGTACTCCCCGTCACTCTGCTTCACGGCGGTCTGCACGGCCACACTGTACTCCGTGCGGGGGCTCAGGAACCAGTGGCCTCTCACTGTCATGGGCAGCGGCACGGCCTTGGCCACAAGCTTGGTGGGGACATCCTGAGACATGGGGTGCAGACCGACAGCCAGGAGTCACATTGGGGGGTCATACCCGATCTTGGCATTCCCTCAGACCCCACTGTCCAGGTGGCCCCACGCCTCCTGAGGGGGCCAGGGTCTCAGTGACCCTAGGTGCGGTGTCCTGGCCGCCATTTTCCCACAGAAGCCAGCGGTGGCCATCAGCAAGGCCACCAGACAATCCCAGCCTCCACCCCTCCCAACTCCCTGACGCCAGTTCTCTTGGGAACTGAGGAGAAAGGCCACTGGGGTGGAGGCCCACCAAGTTGAGGGCGGTGAGACCTCCGTTTTCGAGGGAGACTTCGAGAGCTCTGCACACTGCAGTGCCGTCTCCACGGCAACGGCCAATGCTGAGAAGCCAGGGAGGAAGGGAAAACATGCCTTATTCTTTTGGGAGGAGGTTAAGGGGGTGGTGTTGAACATTCACGTCACCGTGGCAACTGGCCTGCCAAAAGACACCCAGATCAGGGGAGCCAATTCCAAAGAGAGAGAGGGTGAGTAACCCACATGGCGTGTCGTCGTGGGAACCAGCTTCTTCCCCCCCTCACTCTTCCCTCTGCCTCTCTGCCAGCTTGGAAGATGGGAGCCTTCCTCCCACCCACCCCCACACCAGCTTTAACCCAGGGAAAGGACACCCCAGCCAGCAGGGGACTCTCTCACATTCATTTTCTAAACCCAGCAAACAGGCCAGAGGGCCAGGCGGCAGGGAAGACCTCGGGGGCCCGAAGGACCCAGCAACGAGCTCCACCCCTGCCCGTGGCCCACAGCCCCCACCGGGTCACCAAGGCGACCCCAGGTGTGCTGCCGCAGCCCTGCCCCGGGTTTTCCCGCCCCTCCGACACCCTAGTCACAGTAACGGTATTCAATGTGTGCTGGGCCCGAGCCAAACACCACACAGACATTACCCCACAGAATCCTCCGACAGGCCTACCGGGGCGGGCATTATTATGATTCCCCGCTCAGAGAGGTTGGGTAACTCCAGCCAGATCACACAGTGAGAGGAGCCTGGACCGGAGCCAGGCCTCTCCGACACCACCCTGTCGCCTCCCGGTGCGCGCTCTCTGCCTCCTTCAGGAGCAGCGGTGGGGAAGACTGCTCGGGCCCCCTCACTCACCCGGTGCTTGAACTTGTTGGAGTTCTTATTCTCCTTCTTGTTGAGGTCAATGAAGTAATGGGTGACCCTCTCCAGGTCACTGTTCTCCATGGCCCAGGAGATGCGGAAGGAGTCGCAGGTGATATTGTTCACCTCGATGCTGTGGGGCGTGGACAGCAGCTCCATGCTCCCCTGCGGGTTGGCTTCTGTGGGGACTAAGGGGAGAGGGAGAATCAGCAACCCTCCTCCTCACCGTGTTTTCTGGAACATCTTGCTCCCAACATCCCTTGCGAGGTGGAATGTCGAGGAGCCACTGATTGTACTTGCCTCATCAAATCTGATGGAAAGATTGCACCAGGGAAGACTGGGGGCATGGGAATGGAGGTGGGATGGGGCACCCCCCCAGGGGCTCTTGGCTTTTCTAGGAGGGGTCTGCAGAGCAGACGGCACCTGACAGGTGGCAGAGGCAGTGGGGATGCTGCAGACGCCAGGCGGGACAGATTGGCAGCAGATGGAGCCGAGGAGGGGGCCCTCAGCCAGTAGGCGTGAAAAGAGAAGGGAGTGGGGTAGAGAGAATGCTGTGAGGCGTAGGAGAGACAGGAAGCACCCACTGAGGAGATGGGCGTGCGGGTACAGGCAGGAGGACACCAGCAGCCAAGGGGCCGGGGTGCCAGGACCCTGGGGTCCCTCCTCGCTGGGGTGACTCAGCAGGGCTGGGAAGACAAGGCCGCAGAGCCACTGGTGGGGGGCAGGCAGCATAAGCCGCAGCCCTTCTCCCACCTGTGACTTTCCCACTGTTATTCTTTCCCTTCCAGCATCTCCTGTCGCTTGACGCTTAAGCAATTGGTTTTAGCTCTGACAGCTGTTGCAGGCTGACTAAGTGCCCATTTCACAAAGGTCATCTCATGTGAGCTCACTGTTAGGTGGGCACTGTCATTACTGCCATTTTACACACGCGGTAGCTGAGGTGGGGGCACTAAGATGCCAAACGTCACAGCTGGGAAACGATTTGAACTCAGGTATGTCTGACTCCAGGACGCTCAGGCCCTTCATCATTAGGCTGAGGCTGTGTTCCCGTGCATGTGTCATGTGAGTCACGTGTGTGCCATGTGTGCGAATAGGTGCACATGGTTTCACCACTATTTATTTTTCCTTCTTGGTCCTTTTCTCTCAAGCAACGGCATTTCCTCCCAGCTGCCCGCTCGCCCCTGCCCCTGGCTGCCCCCCCAGGAGTGAGCGCACGGGCTCTGTCACCTGCGCTCAGCTAGGAAGTGCTGACTCGGGCCCTCACTCCAGCCTGGCTCCCTGGAGCTCCAGACAGGGTGGGGTGGGGGCCTGGGGGGTGAGAGGGGAGGGAAGGGACCCTCTCTGGGGCAAGAGCATGCGTGTGGGCGGGACGTTCTCCAGGGCATCTGGCTCAGTACCAGGCAGAGCGCACGCCCCCCGGTCTTCCTCAAGCCCCGTCGCAGCACGCCTCAAATTTCTGTAGTGTTGGCTCCTTTTCTCCTCCTTCCCTCTTCTCCTCGCCCAGACACTAAGGGTCAGGGTACCCTGTCCCTCCGAAAGCAGGTACTTCTATTTATAGCTTCCAAAAGCTCCAACCCACACTTCCCTGTCAATTAAGGCTGTTCTGGAGCCTGGCACCTCTAGATTAACCTGTGGGCTGCCTGGGTGGCAGGCGCAGGGCGAAGGATGTGGGCGAGGGCCCTTCCCTGTCCTGGAGTATTACCCGAGCCTTTGTTACATCGTAGCTTCCCACACTAAAGCCCATGGCTGCCTATCGTAGGTTCGGCCAGACACCAGTGGCTTCCTGAATCTTACAGTAAATAAGCACAGGGGTGCTACTAGGTACACCACGAAATAAAACAGAACGGGACAGGGTGTCTGGAAACAACCATACAGGACACCAGTTTGTGATTCACGAGGACAGGTATGGAGCAGTGGGGAGCTGCCACCCCTGAAGTCCCCATGAGGAGTGCCCAGGGAGACACCTGTGTGCCCCCACAGGCACACACACACTCACACATGCACCCCACACACCAACACAGACATACTCCCGCCCTGGGCAGGGCCTCAGGGGCTTCTTCCCACCCACATGGGGTGCAGCCCCCCATGTACCCCGAGGGCGGGGGCGCCTCCCCCTGCCCAGGACCCCTCAGTCTTCCAGAGGCAGGGCAGCCCTTCTCACTGGTGAAGTGTCCAGGACCTGGGCCACCTCTCCCCTGCACACCTCGAGGAGCGCTCAGACTGCTTCCCACGTGAGAGTGGGAGAGTGGCCGTGAGGGATGCTGGGAGCGCTGGGAGAGCAGTAAAGGCGGGGCGGGCCAGCGGTGGGCCCGAACCCCAGCTCTGCAAGCTTGGATGACCGAGGAGGGGCAGGGTGTGAGAGGCAGGTCGAGACAGCACCTGAGAAACACCCAGACTCCTGAGCGAATCCACCCCGAGACCAGCATTCACACACCCACATGCAGGCAGGCACACACATGCGAACACACACACACACACCAAGTGTGGCTACCCACAGGCTGCACACGCCTCCTTGGACATTCTCGCTCCCACACACTCCCCTGCGCAGTCAGGGGCCCTCCGCCACCCTCCGCCACCCTCCGCCACCCTCCGCCACCCTCCGCATTGTCAGGCTGTCCCGCAGTCCCCTCCACTAGCTGCCACCTCGACACAGACCCACGCATGTTTACGTCCACGGGCTCACACACATGCAGTCACACCTTCTCACAAAGCCACAGTTTGGGGGAAAGGAAAGCCGCAGGCACCAACATGCATGTGTGCCACCTCCACACAAGGCTCACAACCCACAGGCCTGCTTGCACACCCATGTACATTCACATGCACATCAGCCTCTGTCCGTGTTCTGGTATTTGCTCTCGAGTCTCCTCTAGGCTCCAGGACACAGCCTTTGAAAATGTGTTTGTCTCTGGCGGTGCTCCGCCAGCCCGAGCCTCCGCATGCCAACAGGTTTGCAAGCCTCTACAGCTCTGCCCACCCTCTCCACCTACCTACCCTCTCCTGCTCCAAGTCGCACCTGCCACATAGAAACCGTCCATCATCATCCACTCCCACACACATGACAAGGGATATGTCCACCCCATAAATACACTGCTTCACACTGTCCCCACCAACATGTACCGAGAGGCTACTCAGATAAGTGATCCCCGACACATGTGCTTCACATGTACAAGAAACATGTGTTCCCCCACATGCCACACAGCAGTCAAAACCCACGCTTGAACATGAGTGCGCGCAGACAGAACTATCTACGCAAGCGAACCTCCAGTCTTCTCACAAGCCTGCATATGTGGTGCACACACTGATACAACACGCTCTGCCCGTGTCCATCCAGAAGAGCCTCCACGCACCAGAGGAAAAGCGGCCCCCATCCCGCTGTCCCCATTGGCATTGCTGACTGCAGCAGAATCGTCACGGGGTGCCTGGCTGTGGTGCCCCGGGGATCGGATCCAGCTGTTAACCCCTTGGCCAAATTCCCCCCGGGGGAAAGGGGACAAGGTCGTTGTAGGCGCGCACCACAGGCAGCGGCAGGACCCCGGGCCCCCAGCTCCTAGCCCCTGGCCAGCGGAGTCCCCCTCGGGATGACCAGCAGGGACGCTCCGGGAGGAAGAGCACTCACCTGGCTCCACCAGGCTCTGCAGAGGAAGACCCGGAGGGGAAGGAAGGGAGAGGGCTGTGTGCGGATGGGCTCCCGGGCTGGGGGCAGCCACCGGGACGCCTGGGTCACAGGCAGCAGCGCTCGCTGGCTCCTCTCGCTCCTTTCGCAGCTGCCGAGGAGGCTGCTTCCATGCCCCAGAGGCAGCCCCTGCCTGCTCCGCAGCGCGCGCGGCAGCTCCGGGAGAGGCGACGTTCCCAGCCGAGCGCAAGGGGAGGCTAGAGCGGAATCAAAGCGGTCTGGAGGAGAGAGAGGCAGAGAAGGCGAGAAGGAACTGGAGAGCCAGACCCAATCTGGCTCCACCAATGGGATCAGTGGCTGCCCAGCGTCAGGTGACGATTAGCAAGCTTGGTCCCTGTGCGCTTGGGCTGGTGGGAGGGGGAAAGGGCAGAAGGTCTCCAAGGGAGCTACGTGGATGTCTTCCGAGACAGCGGTGGTGGCGGTGCCCTCCCCAGGTTTCCCAGAACACGGACCCCAGGCAGAAGTCCCTTCAACACACGTCTACTTGGAAATTTCTCAGTGGAATGTAGCCCCCAAACTTTAGGATGCTGGGAGAGGGGTGGGGCTTAGCCCTAGGGCTTAGGAACCTCAAGCGAAGATTCTGATTGGGGAAGGGGATGGCCATGAAGAGGCAGGATCCAGACCAGGTTTGGGAGCTGGGGTGGGGTGGGAGGCAGTGTCTGTCTTGGTCTGGGCTCTTACCTTTGGGTGCTCCCTTTTCTTATCAACTCTATCAAGACATAAAACACAGAAGCCCCAGGATCCTTGGTGGTCTAGGGCGAGCCCTTTGGCTGCTTAGATGCCCCCGGGGGAAAAGGGACCACAGAGAGAAGTTTCGGGATTGGGAAGGGTGTGCAGAGGCACAGAAGTGGGGGTGGAAGGCACATGCACAGCTTGGAGTGGTAGTATTCTAGCCGACCATCTGGACTCAGAGGAGCCCGGCCCTGAACACACTGGCCAGGGAGAGAGTGCACTGTTTGCTGTCATATCTGCAGGAGGCTTTTTTTTTTACCACCAAGAAATGAGGACCCTGTGGGTGGCGCCATGCAGAACACTCAGGGAAATCTGAACCAAGCAACCAACAGGGAGTACATGCAGGGTGGAGAAGCGTGGGCTCTGCAGACAGATACAGTTAAAATACAGTCTCTCGGACTAGGTACTCAACCTCTCAGGGCTTCAGTGTCTTCATCTGTCAGATGGAGTCATTACACAGGTTTATTGCCATCCCTGATTGAGACAAGCACGTGGCTCACTCAGCTCTGGGCCTGGTGCACCAGGAGTGCCGGCCACCTGGCAGCGCTGTTATCAGTGCCATCCTACTGACAGTGTCTGCCGGCGAGGAGCCCACAGTCTCCTAGGGGAGAAAAGATGAACATTTAGAGACATGATTGGGAAACAAGAAGTAGACGACTAAATTGCAGGGTACAGACAAGAATTCTGAGATGGAGGAGTCAGGACCAGCTCCAGGGCACAGGTGGGGCCAAGCCAGGTAGAGACTGTGGAAGCAGGAGGGTGGTGGGCGGGGAGGGCTTGGCGCTGGGACCGCGGTCAGGAGACAACAGCCTATGCAGGCGGGCCCTGGTGGGGGCCTCAGGGAGCTGCAGGAGGCATGAGCTGAGCATAAGGCACACACAGTGAGAAGGACTTGGGGGCTGCAGACATCAGCAGCAGGTTGGAGGTGGTGACAGTGGACAGAGAGTGAAGAGTTCACCGAAAGCAGAGACAAGTGGAAGCCGATCCCACCCTAAATGGGTGTGGAGAACCGAAGCAGGTTTGGTCAGATCCCGAACCACAGAATGTGGTGCGGTGTGTCACGCGGAGGCAGGTTCAGCCCTCCCTCAGCCAAACCTACACAGAGATGCTGAAACTCCGCAGAGATGCCAAACAATCTTATGGTGATGGCCGGCACCAGACAGCTGGGCCACACTCTGTCCCTAGGACCACACTGATGGCTGGTGTGAGGAAAAGGTCAAGTTCTCGGCACCTCGGTTTCCCCCTCTGGGAAAGGCAGTCTAGTCCCCACATGTCCCTGCCTCCTACCTCGGCCGGATGGCATGTGGAGAGCGCATGAGGTCATGGGTCCCGAGCAGTGAACAATGGCCCTCTGAGGGCGCTTTTGCAGAGCTGCGTGCGGGCGTCAGGTGAAGGCGCAGCCCTCTCAGGGGTTCTGCCTCTTCTTGCCTCAGAGGATTTCTCAGCAGGTCACATGAGGAAACACATGATAGGAAGAAAGCCGAGTGTGCCAAACAGAGCTCGCTCCATGTGAAGCCAGACCACTGCCAAAAGGTGCTGCTGCTGCGTCTTTACCTTTAGTAACTTTTTATTGCACAAAAGTATGCAATCGTGGTAGAATGATGCGATTTAACACTAAGCTTAAGAGAAAATTAAAGTCGCTCATGTCCTTACTATTCGGATATAGGCAAGTGAACTATATGCTTTATAACAAAAATAGAAGGTAGCAATACTGCTTTATAACCTGTTGTTCTCAGCTACCAATACTGTTTCTGTTCATTGCAAAGTCTCCCCACAATATTGTTTGCAGTCGCCGTATGTGTTCTACTGTCAGGTCAGGCGCCCTTTTCCGGGGAGCCAATTCCCTACTGTTCTGTGAGTACTACCTGACGTTTCCGCCATTCCAAATAGTGCTGCAATGAATGTTCTTACAGCAAAACCTCTTCCTGTGCCTTAATTAAATTTCCAGTAAAGTATTAAAGGGTATGGACCATATTTGAATACTGATTTAAACAAATTGTCACCAAAGGAAAAAAAATTACCCTGTGAGACAATCGGGAAATTTGAATACTAACTGGATATTTGAAAATATTTAGACACTATTAGCTCTGACGATATTTTATGGTTATTGTTTTAAAAGAATATCCTTCAGATTATGTTATTTATATCACATTTGTGGATAATAGCATGGTATCTGTGATCTGTTATAAAATTGTCTGAGGGGAGCAGGAGAGAGGATGGAGGAGACAAGATTGGCGGGAGTGGGTAACTGTGGAAGCTGGTGCTTTGAGATTCAAAAAGCTATTTTCTCCATTTTTGTGCATGCTCAGAAGTTTCCATATTAAATATTTTTAGCCAAGCTATGATGATAATCACAACAAAAGCATTTATTAAGCACCAAGACACAGTGCAGGGCATGCGATTCTCATAACCCTGAGAGGGGAGCCATCAACCCTACTTTAAAAAGGCTGATGGTGGAAAGTGAGACTGAGTCCACAAGAAGTAAAATCGGAGCCCCGATTGTGTTAGGCAGCGTCCTTAGTTGGGGTGTGTGCGAGAGGCAACCAATTGATGTTTCTCTCACACATCGATGTTTCTCTTCCTCTCTGTCTCTCTCCCTTCCCTTCCCTCTAAAAATAAAATATTTTTTTAGAAAAGAAGTAAAATTAGATTTAAATTCAGGTGTGAGCACAAAGGCTGGTTCTTCATGGTAGAAGAGCGCAGAGCAAGCACAGAGTCTGACATGATAGAGATGAGGCTGTCAGTGGAAAAGATTCACAGTCTTACTGCTGCTTGTGCACTTCATAGACTCCAACTGTGTGCACTCATCTCCTCCTGTCGAGCTGAGTGTGGGGACCGCCGGCCCATGAGTGCACACACATCGGACTGCCCAGAAACACCGGCCTGGGCATTTACACGTGCCAGCACTGACAGGAGCGAGCAATGATGAATTCCTCAATGCTGATTGATTTTTTTGAAATTATGTGTAGACATCCTATGGCCCTCAGCAGTCACCTATTTTGAACGTTGGAAAGGCTTCCCCCCACTCACACAGCACTGGCCACACTTCCCCTCTTCAGAGACTTGCATACGGAAGAACCTATGGAGAAGACATATGAAAATACAACACAGAGATGGCTTTTCCATCCATGGTGCCAAAGTTAAATTAGTGATGCAATCCACCTGGAAACAAGCCGCCCTTCTTCCAATACGCATCTAGATTTATGACTTGGTCTTATGACAAACAGGAATTCACTCGTTCAGCAAAGTTTATTGGGTGCTTCAAGCACTGTGTCAGACAATGAAGACACTGTAGTGGGGGCAGGAGAAAGATGTGTGCTCTTCCGGGGCTTACCTTCTGGTAAGGGAAAGAGAGACAAATAAATACCCTCTGTTAGGTGATGGTAAGTGCTAAGGAGAAAAATAAGTCAGTAACTAGGGATAAGGAATGTTGTGGGGGAAGTGAGAGGTTACAATCTTCAATACAGCCCATCAGGGAAGGCCTCCTTCAAAAAGGTGACTTTGGGGGACACACACACCTGAGTGGCCCTGACTAGTGTGGCTCAGTTGGTTGGATTGTTGTTGAAAGGTCATGGGTTCAATTCTTAGTCAGGGCACATGCCTGGGTTACAGGTTTGGTCCCTAGTTAGGGCACATAAAAAAGGCAACCAATGTTTCTCTCTCTCCCTTCCTTCCTCTCTCTTTAAAAATCAATACCCATGTCCTTGGGTGAGGATTAAAAAAAACAAACCTGACTACATGGAATGAGGGTGCCGTGCAGAATTATGTGGGGGAAGAGTGTTCCAGGCGGCAGATACAGAAGCCCTGAAGTGGGAGCACATCAGATTGTTCCAGAAACAGTAAAGGGACCAGTGTGGCCGCAGCAGCACGAGCGAGGGAAGCAGGGTAAGAGCCAAGGAGAGAGAACGTGGGCGGATGGACAGATGATGCAGGACTGTGTAGGCCAGTCCACAGCTCTTGGTTTTCACTCTGAAACGGGAACCCTCTGGGAGGTTTAGAGCAAAGATTTGACCTGTTAATCACGCTGTGTTGGGATCAGACTGCGGGGGCACCTGGGGAAGCAGGCCACTTAGGACGCTGTTAGAATAATCACAGCAAAAAATGAGGCAGGATGCCAATGAAGGTGGTGAGGAGTGGCAAGATTCTGGGTACATTTGAAAGAGCAGACAGATGTATCACATGAGAGAAAGAGAGTCCAGAGTAACTCTATGACTTTTGCTTTGAACTACTAAAGGAATGGAGTTGCCATGTACTGAGATAAGGAACCTTTGAGGAGTTCGAGGAGGAAGATCAAAAGTTTGGATGAGAACAGCCATCCAAATGGAAGGGTGGGATGGGCAGGGATACACTCCCGGAGTTTGGAGAGGCCCAGACTGAGATAAGCGCAAGGTCTGAAGCTGAGAAACTGAACCCCACCCTCCACCTCCCCACCCCCCCCAGCCTAGGGAGTTAAGTAGGGAGGGAAAAGGGAAGAGTTCTGAGGACTGGACCCTAGAGGTCTCCAATATTTAGAGCTCAAGGAGATGAGGAGGAACCTGTAAATAAATGGCTTGCAAAATAGTGGCAACAAATTAGGACAAATTACTCATAGAGAACATGTTAGAACTTGAACTTGGATAGCATCCTCATACCACACATTCCTCTTACTCTACTGATATGTATTCAAAACAGTTCCTTATTCATTTAGTATTTGCAACGCCCATCAGGAATTCACAGGAACAGGTTTTTGACAGAAACTTTTATACCTCCTGAAAACCTGCACTTAGACCCTTCTCAAAAGTTTCTCAGTTTCATTAAGTCACCAGAAAAAAATGAGATTTTTTGTTGTAAAATATGTAAAAATAAAATGTTAATAACAAATTGAGATCTTTTAGAATCAGAGATGTGATTATATGGGGTTCAACTAGTAATGACTTACAAGTTTCTTTTGAGGCTAAATGAATGAACACTCTTTGGGTGAAAATGGAAAGGGAGGTGTTGGAACAAGTAAAGAATGGCGCTGAAAATATATTAGCCTAATGAGAGGAAAGGTTGAAGAATCCTTTTAAAAAGAAAAATTTTTAAAGATTTATTTATTTTTAGACAGAGGAGAAGGGGAGGAGAAAGAGAGGAAAACATCGAGGTGTGGCTACCTCTCACACATGGGACCTGGCCCTAAACCCAGATGTGTGCCCTGACTGGAAATCAGACTGGCGATCCTTTGGTTCACAGGCTGCTGCTCAATTCACTGAGCAACACTGGCAAGGGCTGAAGAATCTTCCTTTTTTTTTTTCTTTTTAAGATTTTATTTATTTATCTTTAGAGGAGAAGGGAAGGAGACAGGGAGAGAAACATCAGCGTATGGTCGCCTCTCGTGCGTCCCCTGTTGGGAACTGGCCTGCTACCCAGGCATGTGGCCTGACTGGGAATTGAACCATGGTTGTTTGGTTTGCAGGCCCGCACTCAATCCACTGAGCTATACCAGCCAGCCAGGGCTGAAGAATCTTCTTAAAAAGAAATTATAATAA